CAGGAAGCTGCTGCAGAGCAAGGGGCTGGGTTGAGCTGCCTCAGGCTTTCCTGCCTCGGGTCCAGATGGCCGCTCGGGCTCTTTGCAGAAGCCCTGGCACCAGCCAGCCTGAGCCCAGATGCCATATGGCAGCATTTGCCTAAGTCAGGGTTTCTTTGCTCGCTGCTGCGTCAGGAAACGCAGCTCGGCAGCTCCCCGAACCGAGCTGGCAACGCATGATGCCCCTGCTGCAGGGGATGCAGGCTTGGCACAGCCTCCCGGCACCGGCAGCCCGGCTCCCTGCTCCCTGGCGGGGTCTGGGACTGGTTTTCCGGCAGCGGTGCTTGCCGGCAGGGCGGCTGCGGGCAGCTGCCGCTCCTGCCCTGCTGGCTCAGCACCCGACCCCACTGAGTCAAGCCTGACACGGGCACGGAGCAGCTGGGGAGGGGACGGCGGGACGCTGCACAGCAGCACGAGGTCCCGGAGGGCAGTTTCCCACACTCCCAGCCCATGTACACAAGGTCAAGCGTTGACCCTGAGCCATCAAATTCGAGTGCCAGCTTTACCCAGTGCAGATGGGCTCATGCCACGGTGTCGGCTCCCTTTACCTTAGATACGGGCACCCGCCACAGAGGCTGGATCTGGATCCTGCCCCAAACCAACCAAAGATCAGCTCAGCCCCTGCCTGAGGATGGTTTGCTCCTGGTTGCTCCTCATGTGGGTTCCCCCGGGTCTCTCTGGATCCTCCTCCCGAAAACCCAAGCAGCCGGTGCCTGGGCCTCAGTGCGAACCCCCGGCAGCCCCAGCAGCCTCTGCATCGCCCCACGTCTGGGCATGGCCTCAGTGCCGAGCTGGGAACCCGCTTCCAGAGGGCTGGCAGAGTCCTCGTCTCGCTCTGGGCGTGCTGCGGTAAAACCCACAACGTAACAGCGAGCATCACAGAATTGTTAAGGTTGGAAAAGACCCTTAAGATCATCCAGTCCAACCGTTAACCCAGCACTGCCAAGGTCACCACTAACCCATGTCCCTGAGCACCACGTCTACCCGGCTTTTAAATCCCCCCAGGGATGGGGACTCAGCCCCTGCCCTGGGCAGCCTGGGCCAGGGCCTGACAGCCCTTTGGGGGAAGAAGTTTTTCCCAATACCCAACCCAAACCTGCCCTGGCGCAGCTTGAGGCCGTTCCCTCTCGTCCCATCGCTTGTTCCTGGGGAGCAGAGACC